TACCAACAGTGAAGTTTGGAGGTGGGAACATCATGGTGTGGGGCTGTTTTTCAGCATATGGTATTAGATAAATTTCAGTAAGTGTGTTCAATACTTTTTCCCTGTGCCATTCCACATTATTACAAATAACTTCATTTCTGGACATTTATGGTTTGATTTATTTGTATGTATGGACCACTTGGGTTGTTATTGACATCTGGTGAAAATTTCATGTCATTAGCACCTCTAGTAATATATTTACTGAGAAAAATGGTGACGTGTTCAATACTTATTTTACCCGCTGTATTTGTTAAACCTGTCACCATGTCCTGACAGTAGAATATGACGCAGAAAATCCAAGAAAACATATAAAGCTCCTCCCAGTGGTCCTACGGTGATTTTCAGGAAAAACAACACTCCTAGTCAGATACAGCCAATAAGTGCTCATCCTACTGGTGTAAATCACACTCGGGTACACGTTACCCACCCCCCACCTGATCCTCGCACAGGGCGTACTAACGTTCAAGCTCAACATAGCTGGTGGGCTGCAGCTGTGCTGATGGAGAAGCCATACATGTCAACCTCTTCAGATGTTTACCTGTATAAAAAGCCTCAAAATCCATAAATTTTGCAAAAAATCCGTACAACTCGCAGTCTGTCGGCTGCGGACATGAAAGCGCCTGCTGCGACGCAGGAGGAAAGGAGAGCGGAAAAAGTTCAAAACTTATTTCTAGCGGCAGAACAGGTTGGAAGATGTTTATTTGATGTTATTTGTCTTTTTTTAATCATCCCACAGGCTCTGACATGTTAGATAAATTTGAAAATGAGGATTTGAAAAAATCCGTAAGACTTGAAAAAATCCGTGAGATTGCTCTGTACGTCCGTGTACCTGCAAAACGACATAAAATCCTTATAACTTACGGACAATCCGTACAAGTTGACGTGTGAGAAGCAACCAAATGACAGAGGAAAACTGCCACTTTCTGAGAGCGTTCTGAATGATYCATAGCTGTTTGTCGGCCCTCATCGGTGGCCCTGCTGTGTGTAGGCTACTATCCTCACATCGAGCTGTAGAGGGAGGTTCTGCAGCACAGCAGAGAGCAGAGAAGAGGGACCTGTAAAGYGAGCTCGTTCAAATTTTCAGGCTAGGTTTTTCACAGGCTGCAGCTTTAACCGACCAAACCTGTGAAAATTTGTTACATGTGAATAAAGTGATGACGTGAATAAGGTCCTGCTGTGTCTGTTTTGGGCTCTGAACATACGAAGTATGTGTGAGTGTTAAAAAAAGGGAGCTGAAACTGTGAGACTAATTAAGCTGTTTCTGCCACCGAGTTGTTTAATTAGCTGCAGGCACTCACTTCCCACAGATTTATCAGGAAACAMATCACAGTAGCTGTTTTCACTTTGCCTGACATTGATCCTGTTCACGTTTGCTTTGATCTTACCATGGCTTTAATTGTTTGGTTTATTTTTACAGTTGGTGTGTTTTTTAATTAAAAAAACAGTGTTTGTTGGCATTATTCAAACTCCTTAATTTGGTCTTTAAAACCAGCAACACTATGCTTCTTCAGTTAAAAACAGCTGTTGTTTTAAAACTGATAAAAGATTATCATATTTTAGAGAAGCAGGTGAAAGGATTTTAATCACACCACAATCCAAAAGGATGTTTAGTTATTTTTCTTGTTTATCTTGTATTCCTGAGTTCTCGTTATTTAACCAGTGTTACTTCCAAGGTGCATAAAAGTATCAGAAACCCACCAGTTTCCTCATCAAGCATCATCTACTGCCTCATTTGTATCTGGGTCGTACCCAGTGGGGCTAAGCTGAAAAAACTGTTTCTTTTTTTTTCCACTTTCTGTACTCTCCGAACAGCTGGACGKTTCTTCCCTCCACAGAACAGAACAGCACATTCCCAGAACGTGACAGAGCAGAGCAGGAGACTCCATGAGAACAGCAACAGATGGGAGGTGTCCTGTCCTGATTGCAATCACCCCCCACACCCACACACACACACACACACACACACACTGAACTGTTTCAGTTTCAGGTCATGTCTGGGTTAGTGTGTTTCTGAAACGGGCTTCAGGTCCCAGGTGGAATTAGACGACTCTGATGAGTTCTGAATGTGTGTGTGTTTGTTTCTGGTGACATTTGGGGACAAAAGCCGAGTCCCCATTTGGTTTAAATACCATTGGTGGATTGGGGGTTGGGTTTAGGACCAAGGT